ACATTATAATTAATATTGTATGCAACAACTGAAACGTAATACAAGATGCCTCTGGTTTTGCTAAATGTAAATGCGAATAATAAAATCACAACTCTGCCGTGTTCAAATGGAAATTTGACAGTGCACGAGACCTGAGGCTTCGTGTACTCAAGAAAAGCAGTATAAAGTTGTTCATTTCCCAATTAACATATCACTTTACCCATAAAATCTCATTGAGTTTACCACATACGAATCGAGGCGACACTTCATTTCACTTTCAAGAGTTCATTTTCAAGAGATAGTTTATCCGCCTAATAATAAAAGCCTCACCTATTGGAGAGAACATTCAACCGAACCTAAGGTAATCCAGGTTCTGATCGACCACTACCAAGCCACCAAGCCAAGGAGAGGCTCGCAACCATCCGTGCCTTAATTTCCCAGGACCCATCTCCATTCCATCGCTCCAAGACATTCATTTCCAGATTTACCCAGACTGTAAATAAACCCAAGGTTCAAGTCAACATATCCCGCCCAACCGAAGACACCAGCATTTAGTCAACATCTAGTCTACTCTAAATATTGAGGCAAGTGCAGCCATCCATCTACTCCACGTGATCAATCCTCCGCCAACCTTTCAAGTCGTGCCTTTCCATCACTTCCACGAACCAGATCTTAATCAATCCCTAATGCTGCTTTTTTTATCAACTACCAAATCATCACCCATTACCCCGTCGACCAAACTAGTATCACATAGCCAACTATTCGATGACAAATCAACATAGAAGCACCCTGTCGTACACACATCCACCTTAATTATTGGATCTTCGAACCTTAACCTTCATATCCTTATGCTCAAATTCTTTACATCCGTTCAATCCTCTTACATCTTGGCTGCGGAAAGGTTCTTAATCTAGTTAATAATGTATGTCATTAAAGTACCTCTTACGTAGTTGTTACGTGATTAGCAGTGACAGATTTTTCTGTAGAAAAAAAGAGCAAAGCCAGACAAAAAATGAAACACGAACAAAACCATTCGTTATTATATTAAAAAGAACTTTTACAATTTCTGAGAGTGTTTTCCGCTTTTTCGTTAGTTCAATTTACTTGAATTTCGACCTCTTTAATGCGTTTCTTCGGTGTATACATAGCAATTGGATACTATCTTTCTAATTTTATATAGTATTTGTGAATATTAGTCAAATTTATTTTCGTTTTTAATATTTTTCATTTACTGATAGCATTTGTCAACCTCCCGGACGACTTGGCTGCCATTACAATTGTGGGCGTATTACGATGGCGATCGCTATTTTTTTATTCCTATTATTCTGTATAGGCTTCCAAGATTACATGCATGTAGCTGTTCGTTTTTATAAGCCCCATAACTAGTAGAAAATGTAAGACATAAAAACATATTCCTTCATTCCTTTTCCAGTACATTTTGATTTAGTTTAATACATTATACCGTTTACAATCCTGTTATCCTTTTCCTTTCATGGTCACAGTCAGTAGAATTGCAAGAAATTAGACCTCCCTCCAGGTTCAAACTTATATGAAAGTGGAGAAAATTATAGTATGGATTAATTTACAGTTAATTATCAAAAAAAGGGCAAATGCTCCATGCCGCAATCACCATACTAAAGAATGATTATCAATATTTTGTTACGTTTTCATCAACTCCAAGGAAACATACAAAGTACAACATGATTTTTTACTTTTTAGAGTGTCTTTGAAGTATCTTGTAGGTAGATCAATATTGTGAGCATACGAAACAAACTAGCGGATTGTGACACGAATGTGTAATGTATAGCAAAATACTAGCCGTTTTTTACTTTTTTGCAAACAGTGTTTTCTGCATGTCAATGCATTGCCTGCCTAACACCCACAAAAAAGAAATCGCCTACAAATCGTATTCCAAGATGTCGCGTGTAACATCTCTCCTTCACATAAGTTAATAAATCAACAGGTGTATAATAATCACTGACCTAGAACAACACCTGTAAAACAATTATTCTAAACAAAGACTTATTACGATGGAAGAAACTACCAATAATAGTTTATGAATAATATAAATCTTTTGAACTTATTTTTATTAGCTATAATCTTCACACATATTATTAGAACATTTTACTTAGAATGACTACTACAAGTTTGGACAATAATCATTCGAAGTCCTAGTAATAGTTTAATTTTTGAGAAAAATTCCACGTCCATAAAATGATCCAGAACATAAATGTTGATGTCGTTCATATGAAACTACCGAAGAATTTTGTAGTAAAATGTTTCTTGTTTTATGCCATTTTTTATCATTTATTTACTACTTAGATGTTTTAAACTTGGCACTAATGTTAAAGGGATACTACCTATTAGAATACACTCAGAGTGGCTAATATTTGTGTTAAATAGTGACCATTGCTTAAATAAGTAAATAAGTATCCATCCCACACTTTATCAAGTTTGAAAAAGCGATAATAAAACTATAATCCGAATTTAAAAAAAAAGTGAGCAAGCGATGAATCCGTTCAGTTTGAGAAAAAAAAATCTGGGTAATCAAAGCTAAAACAGGAAACAATCATCTTCCGGTGTATACAAACAAACTTTACCAATGATTAATATTCGTTGGAAATTGTGTCAGTGGTGGAGTATTCATTCTAAATTATATGAATTGCTTTTTGGCGGAGTCGCTTAATCTCCTACGTGGCATTATTATTCCGTCTTCAAAATATGTCTGACAATGTCGAGGTAAATTCAAGAGTAGAGGTCAAGGATACGGAAAACCCCACTTGAGAGTTACTTCCCTTGTGATTACACCGGATTTCCTAGACTCGCGATTTAAAAATCGCTTAATGGATGCATTCAGCGTTTTATAATTAATTACTTGATTTTGTGGATATATCGGATTATAGAGGGATTTTGATGTATAGTTAGGACACCAGGTAAGTCCACTGATGGATATATACTGTTATTGGTGAAATTTGAGCAAAATTAAAATTTTATGTTCATCCTAAGACGTAGTATCCTTTTAAGATTTAATCAACTATTCCTATTTCTCGAAATTTAAGTCAGAAATAATGAAATCATAACCATGAAGTTGAAAATTTCTTCATTTTCAAAACCGAAAATTGTCATCATTGCACATCATCTCACGATTTCCCATTAGTTTCAGGTATTTGTGATATGTATGAAGATCTAGAGCCAAAGCATTTTCAATTCCAATACATCTTAATAATCACAATCAATAAAATACATTAAAAAGTTCTTGGATGTAAAATTATGTTGCTATTACAAGTTATATCTTTATGTTATTGGAATATTAAAAATAATATATAAACGTCGTGTTAAGATCGGCGAGCATACTTTTACCAATCCAGCGAAGCACATAATAAAGTGTTTGTTTGAATATTCTTCTTTTGTCTCCCTGACAGGTTGGAAAAAAAAAGAGACAAGAGATTGAAAATTGATTTTACCCCGAAAAAAATATATTACATGTATATTTACATACCAGTTGTCAGAAAATGCCATCTATAATATTTGCATTATTTGGTAACAAGGGCAATAACTCCATTTACAATCACGAGCTCTTTTTTAATTGTATCAAAGCGTTCACTGAATGAGAGCGGTGCGATAGAGGGCTTTTTCCTCTAAACCGGCACCCCCTCTTGAATCCGGATAGTTGACGGCTAAAGGGGTTTTACTGTTCAGTTCAGCATACCTGTTTTGTTTTCGTAGGAAAATACAATTACTGGATTATTCACGAGAAAATTAAAAAAAATAAAAATCAAGTAAAATGGCCATGAATTCTGAAATTGAAAACTTGCAATTACCACATCACGATATAAAATCGCAATCAAATACACAAGTACAAATTAGGTACGAAGTATACAAAAGAATCTAAGAAATTATAAAATGTCCGATATTACCGTACTTCACGCAAACAAAACTCTATAAACGGTTTACTTTAATTAAATGTCTATAAAACAAATTGGACGTAGCCGTTGAATGGTAAAAAGGATTAATTATTAATTTACTTTTACATTTAACCTTTCGTTCCATTTAGTAACCTTCTATTCGATTGTTTTGATGTAAATCCAGAGTCGCCCTGTCTACTATTCATATAAAAACATAAGTATAACTAGCAATGTATATGCAATTAATATTAGTTGAGATTGTAAGCCTCTCTAAGGACACTCAACACCTGATTGATGTAAAATTTTACAGAAAATCTATTCGGGTTTCGACAGCTGTTTATTATTGCAGAATCGAATGGATTATTACCGTAGCTAGAATGGAGTTGAGCTGGGTTGCTTATAATTAGAGAGCGATATCCATTTAGTCTATGTTTTTTTCCAATGTCGAGTGATCTTTAACGTGCACATGGTGCCTTGTTTTATTGTCCCTGAACGACTAGACGCATTTTCCTTGGCATCCCCTATTACCTGCATCACTTACAGGGAAGAGTTATTTTAGTTTCACCCTAAATATTTCTAAATAAATTTTATGTCCTTAACTATTCAAATATAAATATATATATATAACCATCGATCGAAATTAGATAAAAAAAAAATAAATAAATAAATCAATATTGTTGCAAAATACCGTGTTGTTATAATTTTTTAATGGAATGTATGGTGGAATTTTTTTAAAGGGGTATTACGCTTTTTGTAAACAGTTTTCATTATCAAAAACGTCGTAAATTAATCCGTATACTAGTTTTCTTACAGCTTCCAAAAAATTAAAAACCTTACGTAATGTTTTGAAATATTTTTGACGAAACTAGTTCTAGTTAAAACCTTCAGATACGTTAAAAGGGCACGTTTCTCTCAATTTTGGTGTATAGTTTTCACAAAAAAGCGGAATGTCCCTTGTAAGCATTGTAAAAGTGTGCCGTATACAGTTCTTATAAACCAGCTTCCAAGGCTCACGACAGATTGTTTTACATTATTTTTTTTTAATTAAATTTTATTATTTCTGATGCTCTGATTCGTGTATAAGCTTAGCTTAATATTACACAATCGCATTACTTTTCACCAAAAAATGAATTTCATATTTGGCAATATCTTTAAGTAACTTAACAGAAAATTACCTTTATGGCATATTGGATCGACAACTTTCGTGTCTGTGATGTTAACAGTTTCTGTAAAATAAATTTTTCACATTAAAAAAAAAAAAAAAAACAATAACGCGGTCGCCTACACAGCCACAAATTTCAAGGCAGCTTTATCCTTTCTCATAAGCGAGCTTATTCCTGCATCTATACTACATCTTATGACCTCTAATGGAATGGATCAATGGACTCCGTCTAATATACATATGCTTTAGACTGCATATCGCGTCGATTGACATGTATGACAAAAGCTGTTTAAATCGAGTGCCTTTGCTTTACGAAAGATCGCACGAAAAAGGGTATCCAATGTTTTGTGTCTAGAGAGAGAATAGATGCCATAAATGCGTTTGCAATGCTCGGTACTATGCTACACATGCACTACATCGTGAAATTCAGTGAAGCTCGAAGATAGCTGATGCAATTACAGATGGTGCTGCATGATATATTATAAGCAGGTGTATTTTGGGAATATTCAGTGGTTTTTGTACGAACTGAGAATCCACGACTTCTTTAGATAGGCGCTGAGTTAGTGTCTAAAATATTGACCCACAGGAAAAATCCCTCCCTGTCTCACGAAATCGTCTGACGTGCTCCTTTATGTTTATCATCAAATCGTAGTAAAATTGTCAGTGTTTATTTAAAAAATTTTATATGAACATTTTTCTAAAAAAAAGGCTTACAATTTTGATATAGATTTTCATAGCTTTGTTTACTTATTCCTCCATTGACAAGGCTTAATTGTCGAATCGATTTTTTTTATAGACTTGCCCAATAAAAATACATGTATTGCTAATGTAGATGTAGTACTGTTAGTACAAATCATACATTAAATGTTTGCACCTAGTTAAACCAAACATGAGTCGACAGACGCTTTTATCCTACTGACTTAATGTTAGTAACGACGAATATAAAAATAAATCTGGAATTGGTTATCTTTTACCTGGTTTGAAACATTCTGGGCTCAATGTTATATCATCCAGTGCAATATCACCCTTACTCGTCAAATATCCAACAAATCCAGTAAACCGCAACACAAATCTGCAAATATAATGACTCATACAATAATATTACAGGAAACGTTAGATTGATAGAATGTAATTGACCAAAACTCACGCCGTACTGCCTGGGTTGAATAAACAATCCTCATTAGGGCCGTTTAATTGCAAATCGGAGACTAGGAGTATTGGCAACGTAAGCGAACTCACTGAACAAGATTAGGTTCGTCGAATCATTTTGGATGTACTATTTCCCATTTTAGCAAGTTTATGTATGGTGTAAGAAAAGACCATGGTTGAAGACAACATCCCATCCTCGACCAAAATACGTCGAGCTGATTTGTTGCTACCAAAGCGGCTCTACTTATGAAATATTAAAGAATAGTGGTACATAACCATGTTATACTGTAGGTTTTGTTGTACTCAGAGAATCTGTGCCAAATACATTAATTCTAGAGCCATTACATATGATTAGTATTACTCTTAGGAGCCTTATTGTATTATGTTTATCAGTTCACAAATGAAGACGTGATTCATATACTTTATAAGATAATTTCATAATTAAAGCCTGGGGCGTATGTTTATAAAAAGCTAGTAGAGACCAGAATAAAAATAGAATAAACAAATTATGGCGTACTTTTCAGTTATATTAACAAGTGGTATAGCTTCGAAAATCCATTCATTTCTCTTTACTCGTCTAGTTCGACTCCAAATCAGTTTCATAGTTTTTATGTCTGGATCACATACTTTGCGTACTTCCAACTGCAATCGGAATACGTGTTTACCGTACATATGATAATGGAAACGCACCTGAAATCCAAAAGGTGGGGTATGAGTTAACGAGCATGGTTGTTTAAATATATTGCATTACCGACTTGAAATTTAGACTGCGAGACTGTCGTAGGTGCCTTGTTTACGTTCCAAAGTACAGTTATTGCCGATATGATGAAAGAAAAGAAAATACCCTCTTCAAGACAATTTGTTAATAATTACTTCAAAAATGACTGGTTGGTGGAAATTTAATATGGGCCATTTTTTTTACTACGCAGCGTCAAATGGGTCCCCTTTAAAAAAATTGTTTGCATCCTCAATTTTATCATCACTATATTTCTAACAACTTAAAAAATATGAATATAATACATTTTTGCCTCAAAATATGTTTCAGAATGCACATAATCAATTATACTTTGGACAATTTTATTGGGAGAACCCTCTCAGACGCTCCATGAGACTATGATGACTCCTCTGCATTTTTGTATCACCAATAGCGGGAAGCTGGCATTGTACAGAGGCAAACAATTTATGTACTAATTGAGTTAAAGAATAACATTTAAACTCTTGAAATATAAATGGCCAAGTAAAAAAATATTTTACCTTGCAACTGCCATCGTTAAAATATGGCGGGTCAAATAAGGCACTTTCTAATATGGCTTTTTCTCCTGCCTTCTGATTGCTGGTTCTCATGTATACATAATTACCTAAATGTATTATAATCAAACTATGAACAAAAATAAACGAACAGTTAAAGACGCATATCTGTGACAACAAAATACAGATGTTGGGCTACATACAGTTCTGTACGGCTGTGATCGTCCATTATCGATTTTAGCTGACACAACCTACTTTTTCGACAACTGAGGAATAGTCAGTAAAGAGTGAACTAGCATTGCAATGAATATGCAAGTACAAGCATTTTGTGATACTAGTGTCACTACGTTTCAGAAAGTCAAGTTCATGCGATATGCCTTCATTGGGCATCATCAAAATCTAGTATATCTCCTAATGTGATTCGTATCATATGCAGCCACCATTAAAAACTATCAATTTTCTGACGTACCACTTTTATCGTATAATGATGTGGTATGATCATGTTTTGGTCCCATCATGGAAGGTGCAACACCACTCGCCAATTCCCATTGTACAGTAGTTGATGGTAAGTTGTGCCACCAGCATCCACCACCAACAAAGTTACATTCTTCAAATGTAACCTTAGCAAAATCTGGTAATTTTTCTGAAAGGCAATCATCGCTTTAAAAATTACACGCCAACCCAATGGTCCCCTTAAACTACACATAACATAAAATATATTTATACAAACAAATGCCATTGTTAAAATTCCGTACTCTTACTACCGACTCTGTGGGTTTTATTTATGCATCTAATCATGTTTAATGCCTCTTGGCAACAAGCTTGGAAGATTCCTCAAACGTTATTTATGGGAAGTAACTCGTGATCGATTGCAACAGATAATACCAAGATTACAAAAGTAACAGGGAGCCGCGGTGGCTCAGTGAGTTAGACGCTTGCTCGCTAACCCGAAGGTCCAGGTTTCAATTCCGGCATAGGTCGAAATATTTTTGGATTTTCATCCCGGCTTCCCCTGTCAGTGATGCAATCAAGAAGGGCTGACATGGTAAAGCGTCCAGTCGTTCGGACCGAGGCCCCGTGTGCTACAGGCTGTGCACGTTACAAATCCCTCGAAAGTCAGAAATCGAAAATATTTTCCTCACTACACCCTGCATAGTGCTGCCCGTCTTCATTAGCCTACACGATGCAGAAAAGTAGGACGTAAAACTACATACATTTCATTTACAAAAATTACAGCCTTCAAGGTTTCATTGTCTACGTTTTCAATTAATGTAGGTAATTTCGAGTACACGTTACATATTTATGTTAAGCTATAGAATATAGCACATTGGCTTTTTGATATTGTACTTGTTTTGTGGGGGGTAAAATTTGCCAATCTGATTGAAACAACTAAAAGCGTCGCATAATCTGAGGATATTTGTCACTAACAAAAAGAGATTCCAATTATGTAGTGTTTTTAGTCTTCTTGCAAGTAGAAGAATTTTTACTCCATTTGAAAATACATTGAAAGGCTTTGTTAAGGGTAATCCTATACAATCAGTAAATTTATTGAGAGAGTCTGGAACTTTTAAATTCGACTAATTTCAAGTGGTCATAAACCGATTATCCAGAATTTCAAACAATTTCAAAACACGAAATTTGTTTTTTGATATATAATTGATATGACATGATCTTTAGAGCGAGGGTAAATTGACACAAATCTTTGCCAATTACGTACGTTAATCAGAGAATGACATTTCCAAGGTTGTTATCAGGACGCCAAACGACAGAAATCAATACAGAAAATTATAGTTCTTTAAATCATAAATGTGTGTTATATTCAAATAACTGTCAAGTTTATAAATAATCAAATAAAACGTGACTCTAATGAAGTCAAAGATTTAAAAATTGGTCAATACAGATAATCACATAAACTTTTAATGTAAACTCGTGCATGTACTTTTAACCAGCTATCTTTCGAATCAGAGGCCAAAAATCATGTGACATCACAATAAGCATTGCGCTCGATTGTCTTTTATTAAAACAGAGACAAACAAAACCCAGTTGCTCAACCTATAGGGACTGGTTGAACCATATGAACGGGCCCCATCCCTAGAAAATAAATACAAATTCAAATAAAGGGAAAATATTATGTCCTTATTGAGACTTATGACTGCCCATAAGGGCCCTCATACATGAATATTTCCCGGCCTCACTCTTCCAATTCAACCACTGAACAAACCCGGGAACTGCCAGGATAACAAATGGTTCAGTGGGGAAAAAATGATATCGATCTAAATGTTATGATCATAATTGATGCCCATTGGTGTTGTTCTTTTTTAAAAAGGGCATTGTGATTTTTATTTGTAGGTTGCGTACTCAAATCTATGAAAACTATACATCGTTACTTATCTGAACGATATATATAAAAAAAATTTAAGCAAAAGAAACGCCTAATATTTACCACAAACAGTCAATGATTCGTCTTCCCCATCTGAACAATCATGATGTAAATTACATATTCTATCTTTACTAATACATAGAGATGATTGGCATCTAAACTCGTCTTTTAAACATCCAGATTTCAACAAGGCATCTGTAAGCACAAACAATGTCAATAACAAAAAATTTGACTGTTACAATAGTGCTCAATATATCAATTGTAGAGCGATATGGAAATGTTAAAACATGTAACTCAGGAGTTACAATCTAAGTGATCTTCAGACTATTGACTTTTTTCTGTCTGCGTTTCTACTTAAGTTGTACAAGTAAAACTTATTCTCATATCTACATTTCGAGAGAAGTTATAAACGCTTGTTTAAAGACGGGTGCTCATGGGCATGGTTTGGTTTTATTTGTGTTATTAACAATTGCAACAATGAAAATATGCCCATAATAATATTTTCGAATTAATATTACAACTAATATGATGGCAAAATATGGTCGTAATATGAATGGAGGAATACACCTTAAAATACGTGTGTTATGTGGATTTAAATAGATTAAGTTTAGAACCGCAAGTCTGGAGTAAATGTTACAGAATATTCATTTAAATCATGCATTCTTAAGCTCACCGATTGGTGCATAATCTAGACATGCCCCTGGAAAGATCCTATATAATTACGTTTGTCGAAACAATCCATGTAATTTTAAAGAATAGCTTGCCAGTCATGGTAACAGACGCATACTGGTAGCTGTCAAAATATTTTTGTATCAACAGTAATCCAAATATATCAGATTATATATTATAATCTCCTTCCTCTTCTGAAGTTTTTCAAATTTAGGACGATTTTTTTAAATATTTTAATCAAAATATTCAAGCCTATGAACTATAATATCGTCAACATCCCTACAAAAAATATGCCTGGGTGTCATAAAAGGTCGCTGTAGAGCGTTAAGCGAATCATTATCGAAGATGCACCCTCAATGTATGGAAATGCAAGCTTTCTTTTCTCCAAAGAGGCACTGTTCAACTACAGGGTAAACTGTTCAGTTTGAAACAAGGTTTTACTGTATCGCGTCTACAAAATATTACATCGACGGAGTGGGGTGGCCTATAAGGTTCAAGTCGTTCCCCTGAGAAGGAATTGTAGGGAAAATTCCTTTTTTTTTAGAAAATATGACAGTTTATTTAGAAAGAATCTGAAATCATAACATAAATAACAGCAATAAATTTAACAAGTAACATGTACATCTACATCATTAATGGAAACAGTTCATCGGTCCTCTCCCCAATTAATCTGGCACATCTCCTATGGGCAATCCTCGTTTGAATCTCTTTTGATAGTCGATTGGATTTTGATATTGGTTGTTCAGTATTAATAAATTAAAGTGCCAATCCATAACATTTGCATTCATTTCATTTAAGAGTGCCATTTGGGTCATTCTCGTTGCTGGTGTACAGGAAATCCTCTAAATGTTGTAAAATGATGCAAAATCAGTCTCGGGTAAAAAAAATTAGATTTGTTAATTACTTCGACCAAATATCCACTGATTTTACTATAGGCAATCTCGTTCACGGTCTTTCAAACATCAGTGTTGAATCCTGAAGCTCGTTTATCATGGTCAATATCGTTGGAGACAATAAATCTAGATTTAATCTCCCCTTTATAGTACAATTACAGCTTTGGACTCGCAGTAGACAATCTTTGGCTCCAGTGCACAATTTGAATTTCTTTCGTAAACTTGCATGTATAATTTTCTGGAAAATCCATTTGAAGGAAAACGATGTGATACTTTCTTCCATGCCGGTGTTTTGTCGCTGTAAATACACATGCTTATTTTGCTTTTACGAATGTGCATACGAGGAAAATAGGTTTTTGGCAGTTATGAATATTCAGTGTATCTTCAACACTTCGATCATTTTTTTTTATAGAGGATATCTCTTTGAACCGGGTTCCATGAAAAATTCTAAATTCTGGTTTTTCCGTCACAATACTGTGTAATTCCGTCACACAATTTCTTTCTAGGGCATATTTAGCATTTACATATGATGCTAGTTTTGGCATGATGCATGGGTGTATTCTTTAATCATTTTAAAGCAATGCAATTATAGGGTAGACTATATTATGAAGGCATCAACATAGAGAATAAACAACAATGTCTCCAAGATGGAGGTAAATGTATTAAAAAATAAATATTAGTCCTTAAAGCCTACAAAACTAGTACACTTCAACACAATCTTGATTCCGCTGTTGGCTAAAATCGAATGTGAAATATATGTGCCATAAAACACATAAAACATAAAGACATTGGATATGAACGTTGTTTTAAACCGTCAACAACAGAGTTTATTACATTTGTTCGAACGCATTATTCACTTAATATCGAAACTTAGTGTACACGGTACCTTATGACTATTCCCTTAAGACTGTTGCGATGTTAATTTTCTTAAAAACTGTAAAAGACAAGCTTATTTTCTTGGAACTAGAAAGAAATATTATTGTCTGGAAGCCTTGTGTGATACAAGATCTTTCGGGTAAGGGTTCCTGAATATATTAAATAGAAACCTTGCGAATGACAAAATCAAAGCAGAGAGTATTTCAGCTTTCTGCATTGACCTTTGTGACAATTTGACATGTTGTTTTTAAGGTTTCAGCATAATTGTTTCACATTTTGTTTTTTACACTTTTTAAACATACTTTTTTCTATCAATTCTTAATTTACTTCCTGTACTTGAATGTTTACAAAATTGTGTATGTGTAGCGAGGACATCGATAGAATTATTTTACACCATTCCTATTTTCAGCAGGGCGACTGTGGTTCCTGCAATTTCAAAATAAGTGCTAATTATGCTTTATCACTTAAGGCCTTCGTTATTAGTGACGTCATCGAACACTTAGTTTTAGAGAAATTGCGGAACCACAGACGTCTGATTATTGGAAAGGTGCAAATTAGTGCTATGAGTGTCCCAGATACACACCAGAAAAATTAGAAGATCTCTTTTTGACTGTAGTATTCTCAGAACAGAAGATGGTTATCTGTATAATTTTTCCTAAATATGCTTCATATTAAATTGAAGAAAAAGTATAACTTAAATCACTGAACGTAGACTATTGATATAAAATGGCAATGGCCTTTTCGTCCAATTATTATACCATTGCGAACGAGCCTTGCGTGGAAATTTTCAATATGAAGTATACTGTAAGTAGCTTTAATAAAAAGAAACCATATCCGTTAATTCGAACTCATTATTTTGTCTTTCTGCATGACTTACGAGAAATGAGAATGCCATAACATATTGAATTTAAAAACGACTGTGGCATTAATTCTAGTTGTAAGCTTTGGATAAATTATTCGTTTGAAGATATATATATACACATGTACATTTTTCATATTCCCACAGCAGAGGAAATTAAGACAAACTTGCTTGTGACACAACCAACATTTTGTTTCTTGGGAAGAAATCTGATTCTTGTTTTAAGCAATACTACCTCTTAGAATGGACATAAAATATGAAATCTTAGTTTCGGTCAAAAAGAGGTATATATTCATCACAGGTGTCATGAATATAGAATAGAATCTTAAATGGTATATCCGTTAAACTAAGTAATTATTGAAAAACGCTTCTAAGCAAGTTTCCAAATTACTTAGTTTAATGGATTATTACCTCGTTTTAAGTATTTTAAGGGACTCTGTCGTATTGTTTTGACACCACGTAAGTTCTCTGATGAACAAAGACATTTTGGTCAAGCTTTAAATTTGCCTTGCCTATTTTTCTTGGTCAAATCATGCTAATAGTTTGATTAATTGATGTCTAACGAATAAATCAAGTACTCCTCAGCGCTAGGATTTGTAGAAAAGCTTGGAGATCAAATTTACTGAAATCCGATTAAAAAAGCTTGTTTACTCACTGACTAAAATAGATTGTGATAATCTAGACACATTTTCACATAAAAAAATAATTAGCCAAACCATATTTAAGAGATATATTTGTAAGTTAGAAGTCATGTAATTAAATACACTGTATATTTAGGCACACATAGAGTTATCTCCCTTATGGAAATTGTACGACCTGATAATCTTATCTTATTAAGTGACCGCTAAATCATTGGAAGGTTTGTTCCTACTTTCCCGGCAGATTACCCGGATTAAATTTTTCTAATTTGGGTTATACGGATTAATCAGATTAGGGCAATATTAGGGATATAAACCATGTTCACCTCCACCCAAATGTTAAATATAATTTTAAAATTGAATAAAGTGAGTGAACACTATCAGTGAAGCATGTGTTTAACGACGGACGTAGTATTTCACTATTACTATCTATTATCTCCTTGCATTATGGCAAATGTACAAATGAATGTGCGATTTGTTTCAAAAAGACGTGGTGGTCAGAACTTCTGCTACCATGGTCATAAATTCGGCATAAAGAGTAGGAGTGAAGAGAAATTGCACTAAAGATGTTGCAAGTCCACCTGTATCAATAAATACATCCAGTGGAATAGTGACAGATATCCAGAACCATATGGCTGCTTCACACTGCTTTACTCCAGTAAAAGACATGGCTAGAGCAGATTGTAGAACAATTCCATCCATCTAACAGGAGGAAATAATAAGTCCTATTTTTTTCTTTTTATTAGAACTGCGAGCTGTCCAAGAATCTTTTTGGCCATATTCATTCTAACCTTTCTTTCTTTTTTCAGAACTGCAAGCTGTTGAAGACCCATAGCAGCTTATACAGAGCAATAGCCAAAGAACTCCCTACTCTTTCTCTTCGACGATCTGACATCAACCTTCCCAACATGTACAAGGCAATAACGGCGAAGACTTCCTGATACAACAAGATGACGATTTACTTATTTTCTTAACAACTGAAAACTTTGTCCGGCTCTGAGGTCTTGTTTTGTGATGGTACTTTTACTGTAGTTCAAGAAGTGTTCCACCAACTTTATTCTGTTCACGGTCTTGTCAAAGGAAAAATGCTTCCTTTAGTGCAAGACAATGATAGAGTATGGGGATGCTGTCTCCCATCTTGTTGGCTTGTAATGTTGTGTAAATATATATGAAATTAATAAAATATCGGCTCATTAGTAGAATTTTATCTGCCCTAATCCAAATAATCCGTATAACCCAAATAATACGGATTAGAAAAATTTAATCCGGATAATCTGCCGGGAAAGTGGGAACACCCCCATAGGAATCCTAATAAGCCAATTACGAGTTAATTATTGACTTCTTAGTAATGTGACATACGAACCAACATATTACGAGAATATCAGTCTGATACTTGAATGGTGGATCCTCCTGGGTAGAACTATAGAATGAGGAAGGTCATAAGACATCATGATTAACAAAACACCATACCTTTTTCGCAGTTGCTCATAAATAATTCATCAAGAGCTATGTAAGAGTCACCATAAGGAACGTGGGCTATGAGTACTACTTTGAAGGGGTCTGTTAAATTTGCTATCAAGATTGTATAGTTCTCCCACCTGAAAAGATAAAAAAGAAAGCAAGGCAATTAAGACCCGTTACTATAGTGGTAGTGGTAGAAAGTACAAAGTTCTCAAATATTTTCCGATTTGTATGATTTCGATGTCTATCAAAACCGTGTAATTTCCATTAAGACTTGACAGGAACAGAAAATTCAATTTGAATTTAAATTCGAATTTTTGGAAAGTATGATAACCCAATCTCGTGACCTTGACCTAAGTCCGTGGTTCTCAAAACGGGATCGCGATATCGGCTGTTGGTCGCTGGGTCAATCTCATGTCGATTTTGTTTTTTTTCATCCTGACTCAGTGGCTATCTACCGAGAAGTTAATAACAGTTGGTTCTGGCGCCTGCTATTTCCTGGAAAATTACTGTCTCGAATATTTTTTTCCAGATGAAATTGCTCATACAATTTTCCTTTTTAGCCTGTTTGCCCTCGGGTCACTTGGATATTGCATTTTAAATATAATTGCTTCTGACCTATTAGTGTTTATAAACTCACCAAAATGTCTAAGTTGGGAGAAGATGCCTGTAAGCGGAATCTCCGCATAGCATCAGAAGAGGAATTATTTTCACCTACAAAACGGTCTTTTTAAGAATATGATCTCGACGACCATATACAGAGGTTGAAACGATCAACCAACCAACTCTCACAAACTTCGAGGAAAGGATTTTGAATTTTTTTTTAGCTCCAACCGTGAATGATATTACGTTACGTAACATCATAATAACTCACAGGGTTGTAAAGGCCCCCGATATCAATAAAACAAATTCTGAAATTGCTTTGGGCCAGTTCACGCACAACACGCAACTGCTGTTATATGGACAGTTAGAAAAAGGTGACGTCCTACAAAAGGAATTATTGACTACGTTTACGCTTAAAGTCACTTCGAAGGTAGAGATATCTACACTATTATATAATATCACTGTCAATGAGATGAAATTTACAACATGTTCAAATGCGAAATTAGTTTCCGTGCGGTTCAAGTCAAACGCAAAAGGCATGTCCTAAATCAGGTCACGTTCCCCTCATAACCTGGGTCGCCCTATATATATTTTAATACATTGTGATATTTTTAGTTTTCATTATTAGGTTGTCAATAGTTACCATCGTCTGCTATATGGGATAAAATCTTCAATCTATTTTCAAATTTGAGAGTCGTATCAGTTTTATTATATACTGTTTACAGAAAATTTATCAACAACTGGTACTATTAATCCGTATATTATTTACATGTGAACATCTTTCGGAGCAGATCTGCTTCATAAGACTTTCATTGAAAAAGAGAATCGACCTTATTCAAACATCTACACTATTCAATAATTAATGATTTTATCTCTCAACCTATGGCAAACTTCCACCTTCAATATACCTGAGTAAGACCATGATTGATCATGTGATCATTATTATGTTCAACCACCATGTTTTGTAGTATAAAATATATAAAAACCGGTTTACTTGTAAATACTTTCCCTGCTTCAAATGCAATTAATGTGTGTCAAAAATGGGGTGGAATAATATCTTGAGGACAGTACTGAAGATACTGAAGAAGGGATTTTGGTATTTTATCAAGAAAGCAAGAAAGAGAGGTAACAGATTACAAAATATAACAAACATAACATGTTTATATTCAACAGAAGGCACTAACAGAGGTTCAAAGCAACATTGTTCACTAATGTTAAGGCTAGAATTTAAAAATAGAATTTCGTTTAGTCAGTAATTTGTTCTCATCCGGATACTAGTACTTCGAGACTGGATGACTGACTTGAAAACGACAAACGAATGTGTATGTCCTACTTCGAGATTACCGTGTGAGAAATTATATTCATTGATGAATTTGTGCACAACAAATCTATAATTTTCAAAACAAAGAAACGAGCATTACGTTCTTTGTTTGATATTATGAAGGTCACTGAATGTAATGAACAACGCCTTGATAGTATTTGTAATATAAAAAATAAAGTTAAGTATATGCAAGACACTCGGTGAACCCACTGAACCGATCAGTTCTCTTTCAATTGGAGGTAAATATTGCCATGTATACTGACAGTATATGTAGAAAATATGTCCCATTTTTCTCGATGGCTTTTGACAATAGGTGATGATGTGAAACCATAATAAGTTGTTTTTGTGATCACATAACTTTCCTACGTATGATCTAGCCAAGTTAAAATTTGCCTCGTGCCCATTTTCGTGCCTGATCCATACTAATAAGCAAGTTTGTTTCCTAGTAATTGTCCAAGACATCCATGTTAAACTCCTTGCTCTCGATCGTCCAGAGTGGATGTGGTGATGACTGTCGAGGCCTCGATGAGCAAAACTACAAACACAAATTCTATTTCACGAGTACATCATATTGACAAAACTGTCCTTTTTAAACCGAGCTGTATACTTTTTTGAGAGAGAGAGCTTAAGATTATTATAATAAAAAATTAAAATGCATAGCACTTAGAATTAGATATTATACTTGTAACTATATATTAGAAAATTGAATTAATGGTAACGGATTAATATAGCATATGATTAAGTTTATATATATATTTGTGTATACAATTTGTAATTTATGAAGACAATTTGTATATAAAAAAATATAAATCAGAAATATCATGTCCATGGTAGCAGTGACCCCGACAATCTTAAATTACGCAAATAAATTAAGACCTGATTTTTAAAAAAAAATTCTGCAATGTTTTCTCCAGATTTTTTAATTATTAGAAAAAATATATGTATTCTACTGAAAGTACATTTTAAGATTACTGGAGAAAATGTAACTTTGGCATATAATCGAATATGAAATTTGATAATCCAAATTTGAAATTCCTAGCGACGATAATCGATTATTTCGATCATCTTACCCGGCCTTAGCCTACTTGTGATATCATTTTACAACAATTGTAGGTGTGTGGTTATTGCTGTTTTTAGTGTTGTCAATAGTCACACTTTGGAGAATTGTCCCTGGTGATTTTGTCTGCCCGCCGAATATGGTTTGTATATGCATCAATTTACGAATTGGTCGTTTAGGAAATCGCATCTACAAGTTTGCAGCTGCTTACAGTCTTGCCAAAAGTAAAGGATTTAAATTATTCATATCTGATGGTGAAGAAGATTTAATTGAAATGTTTCACCTAGAAGGTAGATACGAGTCCACATGGAATAGATGTAACAATCTCTTCACTATTAACGAAACTGATTGTTGTAAATATTCATCAAAAATTGAAAAGAGTATATCAGTTAATACAAGTATCACTTTAAAGGGATATTATCAAAGTTTTAAGTATTTTGAACGCCATAAAAATGAAATTAAAAGAATCCTAACAATTCGTGAAGATATTTTAAATTATGCTAGAAAAAAATTAGACAACATGTTGCAGGACAAATACATGTGTAATACGAAATGTAAAAATTTTCGTCGAACACTAGTTGGTATTCATGTCCGACGTGGTGATTATAATTCAAACAAAAGTACTGAATTCGGCTACCGCTCAGCACCAAAGGAATATTTATTCAGAGCACAGGACTACATGAGTAACCACTTCTCGAATGTTACTTTTATTGTATGTTCAAATGATATAGAATGGACAAAAACTGTTTTCCAGAATCAGAATGATGTGATTATCCCGCCTTCTGATACACCTCAATTAGACATGGCTTTATTAAGTCTCATGGACCATACAATTATAACAGTGGGCACTTACGGGTTTTGGTCTGCTTGGCTCAATCAAAATAATGGAACTGTGATATATTACAAAGATTTTTTCGAACCAAATTCCACCTACGGTAATCAAATAAATATCTCGGACACATATTATTCACACTGGATAGGGCTTGAAAGTTAGCCAACCATTTTGTCTGAGATGCCTGGACTAAATATGTATGTATCGTGTTCTACGCTAGTCTTAGTATCAATTATTGCTTATGTGTTTCCTTACATGTTATTTATCCAAGACGCACAACTTTCAGATATGCATGTGGACGAAATATTTGAAAAAGTGAAATTTATTGTTTGAGGTATATATGTGAAAAAGAGAATCTGTATTCATATGTTATGCGTTTAATGCTTACACATTAGAATTCCTCATAATGGCGTTATTATAACGTTATGTAAATTTAATTATGACTATGTAATGTCTTCTTGAGACGACTATTGAATCATGTAGGAGATAAGTTTTGATGTTATTTCCTCAAGTTATCTATTTTTTTTATAAACTATTATAACTATTATTTGATATCTTTTATATTTATACTTTTTATATCACATATAGTGAATTATTAACCTTATTTGTTAATATTCATTTGATATTTAATCAGATTGAACTGTAAATTCGACTCAAATCTTCTATCCCGTACTGAAATCCAGCAACGCCCTCACAACTGCAATTTTTTACTAAAAACATGGATCAATATGGCTATCTCAAACAAATTCCACTGCATTTATCACAATATCCCTGGCCTGATAAAATTTGTGTCATTTGTAGCGATAACTAGTATATTATGTATAGGATAAAGCACGGCCGAGGGTTTATAAAATATTTTCCGAAGGAAAGGGTTTCAAAATTTAAAAACACGAAGCAAGACAGTGTCCTTATCTACAAAAGACTCGTTTGTTTTTGTTTGGAAAAATACTAAATAATAATGAAATAAAGAATGCTACCCGTATCTTCACGACTCGGCCAGCTAATCAAATGGCGACTGGTGAGCTAGACTCACTATTTGTTAGGGCTAGGGTCCTAATATACACAATCTATTATAAAACAAAACGTATCGCTCGAAAATATCTTGCACGTGCAAGTGTCAACCGTAGTTGTCAACCAACGAGCTCTTAAATGTTTAACATTGAGTAAGAAATAGCCAGAGGACAGGTTCTACTCGGACAGAGACCGGTGGATAAATCACAACTTGGGTTTTCCACATCATAATTCAGCAAGTCCAGTGGAGGTCCCTCGATCCAGTCCTCAGTTGAGGAGGCGCCAATAAAGCGCATTGGAGCGCATCTTACTCGGATCGCCAAAGGAGCGAAAACTGATCGTGCAAACTCGCAACATATCTAGGGAATAGGGTGGCGGCCAAGGACCGTTATCTGATCGTAATCGGATCGTAAGTACTCTTATGTAGCCCAATACTGAGGAGATCTTTGGCGCTCCTTCTGATCGCCGCCTAGTGTAATGTTTATCTTTTCACATCGAAAAAAATGTCTAGAGCCACGTTATGTTATCAAATATATTGGAGAAGCCTGAACAGAATTATATTTTAACTAGCAATAAACCAGACTTTATCTATAAATTTCTTTCTCTATTCAAAAGGAACTATGTTACACAGTTATCCAATCACAAACATAAAAATCCTTTCAAGGAAATTAGCTTTTTGACAAAGATTGTAGAAACCTTTACAAATATTATTAACATTATTGATATGAAATGTCCGTTCTAGTCTGTATTAAACTAGGAATTTAATGGTTTAAGAGATTCTTTAAACTAGTGACGCCGGTTACTTATCTCGACCATGCAATATTCTAGTTTTGTTCCAGAGGGTCATTTATCAAACTGATAATTATTTCTAACCGCTGTAACATATTTGTATCATAATCTGAAAGTATTGGGATTAAGCTATTGGTTAATAAAACTATTTCTATAATGATACATCCATCATATGATATCATCACTACATTTGTTAAAGGGACATTCTGCCTTTTAGTAGGTCGAAACATTTTTTGCTAAAAACTATACACCAAAATTTAGAGAAATGTGCCCCTTAACGCATCTGAAAATTTTAACGTCAAAAAAATATAAATCCAGCCAAATAAAAAACAAAATATTTAAAAACTGTTAGAAAACTATTGTACGAATTTGAGTAAAATAAACGCCTAATTGTAGAGAAATATGTCTCCTACGTATTCGTAAAGTGTTAACTATGAGTCATTAACGAGCCAAAACTGGTCGAACTGCTTAATTAACAATTAGTACCCTCCGTTTTTAATTAACCTTTTTAAAACAAATTCAGTTTGATCAAGAAGATGCATATTCCAGAAATTTTTCAGGTAAAGATTACAAAGATTTCGATTGTAAAAACATCAAGAAACTGAATGTCCTTTTAACACACAACTATTGTCTGAGCAAAGTAAAATATTTTACATGAATTTTTTCTCTATCTTCTAAAGACAATTGGAATTTCAGTCTCAAAATAATAATACTGTCAGTCTTGTGTTTTAGCATTGATAAAAAATATTTTTTTGTAACTTTACATTGAAGAGAAACATTTTTCTCTCCTAGAAATTGTAACCAAAAAAGGCCTAAATTTTGGCTGAATATTGTCCTCTGTAAAAACAATTGTTGAAGACATAATGTGTGCTCATGCTTATATTTTTATCAACTGGAATACTTTCTTAAACC